ACAGAGAGAGAGAGAGAGAGAGAGAGAGAGAGAGAGAGAGAGAGAGAGGGAGAGAGTAGGCAGACCGCAGCTACACAGCCCCTCCAACAGGATAAAGGGTAAGCATACTTTTGAAAACCACACGAAGACAGCATAGCAATCATGTTTTAAAAGATACCAAGCCCAGCCAGAACTGCCACCATAGCTAGCACCAGTGGATCCCCTCTACCGGTTTCACCCGACCACCACGGTGTCGGGGCAGAAACCCTGACAAGGGTATCTCCCCAGTGTTTCTCAATGTCGGGCACTGTCTGACTCATGATAAAATTTTGTTTGAATGATCTGACTTGATGAGATTGGGGTAGTTGCCAAAGTCTATTCAGATCAGACTTACGACTGAGAGGCTAAAACGATTGTTATCTAAGTCCGAACGTCAGCGGCCTGTGCGAACGATAGAGAAGGTCGACGGTATGAACGACCAATTTTTCTGCATTTGGCAAGGCCACGGGGACGTACGGCCATTGGAATACTAAATCTGAACCTAAAACGAGGACGCACGAATTCAAAGCCTAAAGGGCCAAAAGGAGTGGCCGCGTCGCTTATACAGTCGTGATGTAAACACGCGGGTTACTTATTTTTTTGTTATCCAGGAGATGGGTTCCTTGGGGTTCTGATGGCGTGCCCGTCATTTGCTAATTAGTCTACCAGGTAGGGTACCCGCTGGGCAGATGGCAAACTACTGCGGGCAATTCTTCTAAGAGAAGAGCTACTGCTACTGCTCCTGCTCGCGTCATAGGAGCTAGCCCAGTAGGTACGGCATCAGACTATCACCCAGCAGATACTGGATCGAATCCGGAAACGCGCCGCCTGGGCTAGCTCCTTTTTTATAGGAGCAGGGGTGGTGCGGCGCAATTGAATTTTGGCCACGGGATCATCAAAAATCACGTGGATGCGATCCGTCTCACGGATCAGCATGGCACTTAAACCACCAGTACCTCCGAGCCTGTTTTTACCGACCCTGGATTTCACTGCACCGAAATCTGCCGAGCCTGGGTGCCATTGTGTTTTCTTTTCTGGTACTCTTCGGAAAAGAAAAGAAGATAAAAAAGAACAATGGAAAAAAAAGGAAAAAAGGAACAACTAGGGACGTGAAAGCAGCTGCATGCAGAATCTGGGACACATGTGAGACTATGCCCTCCCTACGGGCAGTTACACCCCAGCTAAATTCACGGGATGAGCCAAAAAAAAAAAAAAAAAGTACAAAAAGATAATAATAATATACTCTTTGGACCATACTTGTGGCGCATCCCGTGCGCGCCACTTGCGCACGTGCGGCGCACTGCGCGTTGCGCACCTGGTGCGCGCACCCTGTGCGCCGCATGGGCAAAATTCGGGGTCAGCCAAAAAAAAAAAAAAGTTGGGGAGGGCGTGAATCGAAGTTCCCACGTCCAGCCAAAATTAGGACATTGCCCGCGCAAATTTTTTTCAGGGCCGCGCCGCCCTAAAACCTGTGTATCCTTATGTTCGCTGTCCACAACTCCATACTATCTTCAGTGTATCTGAGCCCTTTCAGAGGTCCAATACGGTCATGATGAGGACGCATCTGTGGAACCCTTGATTTTGTCTCATTCTACGTATAGAAAACGACAGAACTGACAGTTGTGTCTACTTGGTGCTTTCGCTAAAAAAAAAAAAAAAAAAAAAAGAGAAAGAGAATGTCCGTGACAAGTTGAAAACCAACAACGTGGCGATGTATCTTTCCATGTTCTAGCGAAAGATTCATTCTAATTTTGCACAAATTGGAGAGTAGTCGAACCTGCCACCAGAATCCGTTGGGCCTCTGGGCCTCGCTGCACTACTCTCGAGATGCACAACAGACAAAAATCACGGCGGTGTATCTTTCCATATTCGAGCGGAAGATTCACTCTTGTTTTGCACATTTCGAGAGTAGTGCAGCGAGACCCTCTGTCACATGACGGCTGCAAGTCCAGCTGTAGTCGGGTGCGATGTAAGGGCCTCGCTCCACTACTCATGCACAAAAGACAAAAAATATGGCGGTGTATCTTTCCATGTTCTAGCGGAAGATTCACTCTCATTTTGCACATTTGGAGAGTGGTGGAGCGAGGCCCCAGGCTACCGTTGTATGGCCCTCGCTCCGCCACTCTCCAAATGTGCAAAATGAGAGTGAATCTTCTGCTACAAGATGGAAAGATACACCGCCATATTTTAGTCTTTTGTGCATGTGTAGAGCAGTGGACCAAGGCTGTAACCGTTTCCAAAATAAGACAAAAACAAATAAGGAAAAAAAAAGGAAAAGCAACGGCCTATAGGGCTGAACAAAACGCCCTCTGTCGAGAATCAATAGTGTCCGTTGATACAGGCGTTTTGTTCGGCCCGATAGTGTCAGTGGAATGATGTTGTGGCACAGCAGACAAACACGCAACGGCACACACACACACACACACACACACACACACTCTTACATTTTGTTAAGAGAGAATTTTTTGAATTTTTTGAATTTTTTGTTTTTTTTTATCTTTATGAATTAGTTATTAATCAATTACTAATTATTATTTTTTATTCATGATTTTTTATATTTTATTTATTTATTATTATTTTTTTATTTATGAGCAAAACAGGGTAATTACTGGGTGGGGAAGGTGCTGTTATCGGCCACCGAATTACCTGTCAGCCTGGTACACTGATTCTTCGGAGGCTTGTTGAAAATGTGGCTTTACGTGGGGATAGGCTCTTGGCCTTGCTCTGATCTCCTCTTTAGTAGGATAATGGGCGTTGGCAGTTACCCTCTTTCCGGTTAATCCCCTACGTTTTACCCCGGTACCCTTCAAAACAGAAACTCGGGTACCTCCCTCTTGGAATGTCCCGTCGGCCCGACCTTTGGGCGCGGGTAGTATTTAAGAGGTTCGCGTGTATGACCATACCCTCT